CCATAAAAACCATCCATCTGCCACATCTTGATAAATTTCCAAATGCACTAAAAACATGAAGATCAATTCAAACTTTTTAAAGGCAATGGATACTAAATAAAGTAGAAATAAGTTAATTTATAAGGAAATGAGGTTCTTTCTGATATTTGTTTTTTGAAATTGGTAAATGATAGTGAATTTAAAGTAGACTTGTGATGCTTAACAGCTCTCTCAAAAGTGAGATTAGATTCCAAGTGAATTCTTCTAAACAAGTAACAGCCACAGCTGAGGGGCGCCAGTTCAGTCAAACACAAAACAACCCCGGTAATTAACAGTCAACAAAGACAGAGAGGCATGCATGGAGTCCACTGTAGCCCATTCTGAGAGCAGTTTGCTGCTTTAAGTGAGTTTACCAGGTTAAGATAGATACAAGTCTCCTTGGTCCATGCAGCTTTGTGTAGACTTTTTAAAAAAAGTATGAACCTACTTATTTACCAGAATTGCTAATTATTTACTGTCAGTCAGGGTTTGGAGAATTTCTAAGGCATAGAAAGAGCTGTGAATTTGGCCCACCATGAAGAAGTGTTTGTACTCAAAGCAACTTGGGAAGTAAACAACTGAAATGCATAGAGTTAGGAGCAACCCTCAGCGTAATTACTAAGAGCTTAATGTTCTAACAAAATAAAAGCGATTTTCCTTACCAAGATGTGCAAATGATAAGAACTGGTCTGAAACCACAGGGCGGCCCTGACTGTAGGACTGAGTGAGACAGCTAATTCCTGCCTGTGATTCTTACCTGGTGACAAGGTCACAGGCGGATTCAAGTTCACTGCCTGTCACTGCCCATGTAAGGTTCACACTGAGCTGCAGACACTACCGTCTGTCCTCACCTGCCTATCAGATTTGTTTTCAGGGGAGCCACTGAGGGTTCTCAGACAGCTACTTCCTCTGATGTTATCTTTTATTCACAATAATACAATTCCATTCATTCATTCATTCATTCATTCACTCAAGAAATATGTACTGGGCACTCATTCCATGTTCTAGAAGTTGAGGACAGAGCAGTAAACATTTACACAAAGTGGTCAATAACTCTCATACCCCTATTCAGAAAACAAAGCAGCCTGCTCAGGGAACGATGCTGATAAAGCCAAGTGCGTAATGCCATGTAAAGGATCTGCACCAGTACTGCAGGATAAATTCTGGTGGCTGAAATAATAGCAAAGTGGACCCTGCAAGATACACTACTTCAATTTTAAGCTAGTAAAAAGTAATGATTCACTTTAAAAAACAATGACCATTATAAAAATCTTTTGAGATAACATCTATAAAGTGATGTACCCTTCTACACAGGTTAATGCACCTTGACAGACAATCCAGCATGTTTGACGTTATTAGCGCAAGAGGCTCATTTTATTGAGCAGAGGGCCCTGGAATGCAATCTTCAGGGTATTGGAGGTGACAACTGGATGAAAGCAACACTTAGTCCTACAAAGCTTGGTCTAAATTCATGTCAGGTGATGAAAATGCTAGCTCTTGTGATGAAAATGCTAGCTCTTGCTGGGTTACATTTTCAGAGAAGGGGAACGACAGTAGATGCAAAAGCAGGAAGTGCTGCTGGCAGTGGCAACCTTCCCAAGGTCTTCCAGCTGTCCCCACCTCCTGGGGACAGGCTCTCAGCCTTCAGAGTCCAGGGCGCAAAGCAAGGTGTTGAGTGCCAGAAGCTGGGGACTGAGGTGTTGGGAAATTTAATTAGCACATGTGAAACTAAAAGGACCTAGAGCTGAACACCTCTCTAGAAGTGTGAAGATTTATGATTGCTTTTTGAGAACTCCCATTTTCCAAGAATGAACAAGCCCAGGGAAAAATGAGCTGCTTAGTTTATTTGCTTGTTTTAAAAAATAAAAATTGTTCAAGTCTTTTGTTGGTAAGGCTTTCACAGTTTGTGCTAATAACCTTTTACCTTTACTTAAAAGAACGATTTCTCTTCATCAGTCCAGAACAAGGACTTTGCTTTACCATGAAGAAAATTAGTACATGGATCCACAATAGATCGAACGCCACGTTTTGTAACAGAAATTTTATAACTCAGGAAGAGACTTTTTAAAGCTTCCACGAATCCTATCCAATTCAACAAGCAGGCACAGAGCAAAGATCAGAAATGAACTTGAGGTTCCTGCACTCTAAAGGCTCACAGTCTTAGGCAGGGGAGGTGATATAGAATCCACCACAGATACAAAGACAAAGCGAAATAACTTGAAGCCAAATGTGGCAAGGACTGTGGAGAGTAACGCCAACAGTAGGTTAGAGCAGGCTTTTCACAGGAGGGATTCGGGCTGCATTTTGAAAGATATACAGGCTGTCAGAAAGGACGATGAGGGGAAGAGCATTTGGGGCACAAAAGGGTAGATAAACAAAGGCATAACAGTGTGTTTGGAGAGTGGGCAGAAATGTGACAACATATACTCGTACACGGAGGCTGTTGTGGATAGCCCGATGTTGTGGAAAGGCAGAAGGAACCCAAATTGTCTCAGATTAAAGATTGGGACTTTGAAATCAACAAACAAGGGTCATTGAGGATGTGGAGAAAAGGGAACCCTTGTGCACTGTTGGTGGGACTGTAAATTAGTGCAGCCACTATGGAAAACAGTGTGGCGGTTCCTCAAAAAATTAAAAATAGATCTATCATCTGACCCAAAAATTCCCTTCTGGGTATTTATTTGGAGAAATGAGAAACACTAACTAGAAAAAACACATGCACTCCTATGTTCACTGCAGCATAATTTATAATAACCAAGATATGGAAGCAACCTAGGTATTCACTGATAGACGGATAAAAAAAATATGGTACATACTGTCTTTTGCCGTGTATAATGTGTACCCACATGTTTGGCCCAAACTTTCAGGGAAAAAAAACTTTTATTTTAATTTTTTAATTCAAATTTTTATTTGTTTACATTTAGGTACTTGTTTTTTGTATTATAAAGGAATTTTAGCATTTATTTTTTAACATATTATAGTACAAGAAATTTTATGTAACAAATAACTACAAAAGACAAGAACAGATACAAGGTACAACACATTTTATGCACCTATAACGAATTTCTGTATCATAGAAGGCCAAGAACTCTTCGACGTAAGTTCAACAAAACCGATTATTGTATTCCAGGGTATTATTTTGCATACGGATATCATTATTGATTTCTAGAGTTACACTTTTAACTCATAAGCATAAATAAAGAATTAAAAACATTTATATAGATACGGAATTAGGACTACCCATGTATAATGAGCATCCTTATTTTTCTCTCACAAATTTGGGCAAAAAAGTGAGCATTATACATGGCAAAAAAACAGTACATACAATGGGATATTACTCAGCCATAAAAAGGAATGAAATCTTGCCATTTGCAGCAACATGGATGGACATGAGAGAGTATTATGCTGAGTGAAGTAAGTCAGACCAAGACAAACACTGTATAATTTCACTAACATGTGGAACCTAAAAAGTAAAATAAATGAACAAACCAAAATGGAAACAAACTCATAAATACAGAGAACTGATGGCTGCCAGCTGGGAGGGGGGCGTCAGGGAGATAGGTGGAAAAGCTGAAAGCGATTAGGAACTACAAATTGCCAGTTATATAGTCACAGGGATGTTGCACAGCATAGAGAATACAGTCAGTATTGTAAGCATTATGTATGGTGCCAAGTGGATATTAGACTCATCGAGTTGATCACTTCGTAAGGTACGTAAGTGTTGTATACCTGAAACTAATATAATATTGTATGTCAACTATAATTGAAAAATAAAAACAAAAAAGATGGGGACTTTATTCAGAAGGTAAATTGTGAAGGGAGGTGTAGGGGAAAATCATGGGCAGCCCTTTGAATAGAGGAATGCTATAATCTGGGTTGAGCCTTAGAAAACGAATTGTCAGAAGTAGGTAGGATGAACTGAAGAGAGACAGGAGGCAACCACCAGGTTCAGGTGGGAGATTAAGAACCCAGGACTTGAGCAGAGGACATATAAAAGCAAAGGTAGGGAAGTGACGGGTGTCAGACACTGCAGAGCAGAGTGCCCTGACCCGGCTCCCGACCAGATCTTGGGGGACTGCAACGGCCAGGGGAAGGGTGCTCCAATGATTCTGTTTCAAGCCTGAGAAGGAAACAGGATGATAAGACAGGAATGAAGGGATGAACGCTGGGAAGTAAAACAGACTAGAGCTAAAGATGGATTCAGAACACCCCACAGGGGGGAAAAAAAAAGTTACGTGGAAAAAAAAAGACACTTTAATTGTTGTAAAGTGGCATCTGAAGGATGAGGGTCAGAGGATCTTGCATAACCCTGACACTTTAACTTGGGAGGAAACTTCGCCAAAGGTAACGTTTATTATATACACTGCTTTCCATCTGCTTTTAAATTTCCCACCATTCCAGAGCTTATGGGTCCCCCCATTCGTTTTAATAACCACACTTGTTATAGTAAGTATATGGATTGCCACAATTTAGCAGTCTCCTTCTGAAGGGCATTAAGTGGTAAGAGGAAGAATGCACCGGAGTCGCCTGACAGCAAGAATGTGCAAGGAACAGCTGATGCTTCTATGTCACCCTGTACCTCCTTTTCTCCACTCTACTTTTTTTAAATTTTGACTCAAACTCTGCTAAAGAGACGCAGAAACATAGAAAGCAGCTGCCCACTCTGGCATGTCGATCTACTGTTTTCTTCCCTTCACAGCAGGCACGCGGTATTCCAACCAGGCAGGCTATTTGCTTTTTAAGCACATAAACTGATGGCTATTCTTTGATGTTTGTTTGATGCTTAAATAGAATCGTAAACGTAAGGGGCCACCATGACCTAGACCATTCCTGGAGCTCCCAAGTTAGAGCCAGGGGCCTGCCTTCCCTTCGAGTAAACAAACAAACAAACAAACAAACAAACAAACAAACAAACGCCTGCCTCATGGAAAAATCATAACATAACACAGGCACAGGCTTTTATTACACCGGGCTCCACATACCTCAAACTCCAGATAGTGCTCTTTCAGTTTGTACTCATCGGCCTCCTTAGCTTTCACCTTCTTGTCCGGGGGGTATGAGCGGTGCTCAGCCAGCTCCGTGGTAACCTGCTTCAGCTTGCTTTCGTGCGACTTCAGCTGTTCCTCCTGCAGGAAATAGTAAGCCATTTAACGTCTGAAAAGAAATCAATATAAAATCGTAGAGTACTTTTAAAAATCCTTTATGATGAATGACTTTAATTCATCACAACAGTCCAGTGTGCCTCTGTGGCCACATCCTACCAACTTTCTCAGGCCCGTGTTCACAGGTACCGTTGCAAAATGGCCACCAAGTCCAGCCTCCCTAACTGAGCCTTGTCACAGAACCGAATGCTTCCAGAGCCCTTTATCAGGTGTAAGTGTTGCGGAGCCGAGACCAGGCCTCCTAAGGTACTCCGACAGGCAAGGCACCGGCTAACAGTTAAGCCCTTATCCTGAGTGCTGCACAATTTGGCTTCTCCATTTCATGGCTCCTCAGAAATGTTGCTAGTTTCCCCGCCTGGCACAATGATCAAAGAGTCTGCATGTTTTTTTCCCTTCCGAGACAAGCAATTCCATTAAGAAATAATTCTCTAAAAGCTATCAAATAACATTCTAAAAAAATGCAGCAAGCTATGCTTTATTCCTCCAAAGTAGTAGAGGTTCTAACTTCCTTCAACTTTATTGATCCAAAGCAGTTATTCAATTAAAATGTACCTGGAGAAGGGTTACTGCCTAACCAGTGTTATTACAGGAACTGTGTACCAATGCAACATGGCTGATCCTATGTCAAAGAATTTCCATTCTAGGGGCACCATTTTTACCACCTTAGCAATAAGCTACCTAATGAGAGACACTAGCAAACACTCTGGCAGCATTTAATAAATGAAACAAAGAGATTGGAATTCTCTTGCCTTCTTAAAATTATATGACTGCTTTGCTTACTATTCCACTTTCACATGTAATTTCCAAATTCTTGTTGAGTATAAATTTCCACATATAAGAAATAAATGGATGAAAGCAAATGAAGAGGAACTGATTAAACTAGGTGGTAAATACATTTTGCATAACACCAACATAATTTCAAAATATAAACACTATATGGTAGAGTGAGGGGAATAATTAACAAAACTACCAGAAGTGAGTAATTATAAATATTAAATAAGATTATATAACATCGCTATAAATTAAAAAAAAAAAAAAGGATATTCAGAAACCCTAACAGTCACATATAGTATCTTAGGGATTCGTTATAACACCCATTTTTTAAAAAGCCAAACAAGGGGGAAAAAAAAGCCAAATCTAAAGCCATCACTACAGAAGGCAACAATGACACATTTTTAAAAAGCAGAGTACATGAATGGGAAAATGAACAAGAGGGGTAGCAGGAGTGAATCAAAGATGACAAGACTCATTTTTAAGTGCCACCTAACTATAACAAAACAAAACTCCTAAAGATGTCCCAGAAAAGTATAGAGGAAAAAAAAAAAAGAAACATATTTTGAGATTTTAGAAAGGGGTCTACATCTCTAAGCCTGTCCTTTGTACACTGATAATACTGAACAGAAATGAAAAATGCTTCAGGTGGCTTTTATTTGCAACTACTCATTCATCTTTCTATTTCTTTCTCCGAGGACACAGTCGACTATATTCTGGACTGAATATTTGTGTCCCTCCAAAATTCCTATGTTAAAGCCCAGTATGGCTATATTTGTCGACGGGGCTTGTAAGGAAGTAATTAAGGTTAAATGAGGTCATAAGGGCACAGCACTATCCTATAGGATTTGTGCCCTTGTAAGAAGACAGAAAAGAGAGCACTCTGTCTCTGAGGGCAAACATGAAAGAAAGGCCATGTGAGGACACAGAAAAAAGGAGGCCATCTGCAAACCCCGGGGAGAGCCCTTACCAGGCCCCAGCCCTGTTGGCACCTTGATTTGGAACATCCAGTCTCCAGACTGTGACAAAAAATTTCTGTCATTTAAGCCACTTAGTCTGTGGTATTTTGTTGTGGCAGCCAGAGCTGAATAAAAAGACTAGATTATTAGCTTTGTTTCTTTCAAAGTAATTGTCTTTTGTATATTTACTACAACATGTAAATTATTTACTAGAATTTTTGACAAAAGTTATTTGGTGACCAGACCACTTCAAAAAATAAAAACATGATGTATAGTTTTTGTTTTATAACATGTTTCTGATATACAATAATGTCATATTGAATGATATATAAAAAATACTCATGTATCTAACACCCAGTTTGAGAAATAAAATAAGTTGAAACTCCCTGCATTCACCTGCTCATTTTATTTCTTTTCTATGCTATTCCTATACAAACACATGTATCCATAAAAATAGAGAGCATGTTCTGTAGGTTTTTATACTTCGTAAGCTTCCTTGTGTAACTTATTTTTACATTCAACATGTTTTAAAAATTTATTCACATGCATGCTGTAGTTCCTTCCTGTTAACTACCGTATAATATTCCATGGTAGGACCTATGACCATTTCCCTGAAGAATATTTAGGTTGTTTTCAGGTTTCTGTGGGCTATTATAAATGACACAACACTGAACATGTTGCTTAATGAATATGAGCAATAATTTTCCTACAGTAGAATCACCAGGAGGTGGACTTTCTGGGTTTTAGAGCACACACATCTTTAAGATGACTCCAAGCTGCATTCCAAAGTGTTTTCACCAGCTTCCATTTCCACAGGAGGCCTGAAAGTGCCCTTTATTCTACATCCTTGTCAAAATTTGAGATCACATTTGCAGATTTTTGCTAATTTCATGGGTATGAAATGATTAGCCCCTGTAATTTGAATTCACATTTTCCTGATTACAGTGAGGATGAACCTTTTTTCATATGTTTACTGGATTTCTTCTTCTGTGAACTGGCTGTTGAAATATTGGACCTACTTTTCTAACGGGTCCAGATTTGTAAAATATAGTGACTTATAGTATATTTTAAGAAAATGAATTCTTTTCTTTTTTGGTTAATAAAATAATAGAATACAAATACTAACTTTTTTTAAAAAACAAGATTTTAGATTATTTGGTAAAAGAATTTCTAAATTCTCCATAGTTTTGGACTTTGTCTTTAAAATATTCTTTCAGATGGGTGACTCTTCCAAAAGCTTTAAATCTAGGCTTCTCAATTTTGAATTTCAAATGTCTCTTTGTTGTTGAATAAATCCCAATTTCTACTTATGTATTTTAATGAGCAATGTATGCCAGGACAATATGCAAAGCATATTTGTCACTTTCCTACCCAAACCTGGGTTTACTAGAGTTTATTCATTGTTTATAAACCTGACTCTTCCTATAACAGCATATAGGGTTAGTCATTTAGTCTATATTTTTATGAAGAAACTAGTCAAAGAAATGTTGAAATTCAATGTGCAATGCTTTACTCCTACTTCACTGCTTTCATGAAGCAAGAATCAAGGAAGTAATCTCAAAATAAAAGCATTTAAAAAACACATTTCTTCATCTGTCCATTTTGATCAGTGAAATAAAAATACCATGTAGCTTTTATGGGCATAGATATGTAGACCATGCAAATTATTCCAATGTTAGAATTCCACATTAAAGGAGATACACAGACTTTCCTAACAAAAACCCATGGAAAAAAGGAGAAGGAGAAAGGCAGCAGCTATGGCGACATGTTGCATTCTCAGACTTGGGACAATTAAGTTTGTAATAGACACAAAGAAGAAAGACGAAGTAGAAACCTTGCTGTTTTTCTCCCTTGTCTTTGCTCTTACAATTCATTGGGGGGAACAACTATATTGTTCTTATGAGAAAATGCTAACAAAAAGGATTTCAGAGAAGGCAGAGAAATACATCTGACAAAGAATATAGGAAGGGAACAGAGAGAGGAAATGGCGTGTACTGACTGAAGCTGTTTCAAGTTAGAAAGTGGTAACTTAAGGAATGGCATTAAAATATTAGATGCAAGAAAGATTATTGTGGTTATATGTCAACAGTTATAAGTTGGTAAAACCTTTGATAATATATACAATGAAACTTTATCCATAGGCAAGTTTCAGATGATGTCACCTAAGATTTAATGTTTTCCTACTTATCTAGTACTTTGAGGAAAAGTTCGTATTTTGTTTTAAAATACTGAACTCTAATTTCATCTCTATGAAGTATTTCCAACTGATGAGGCAGTGGGGCCAGGCAACTGGCTGTTCAAGATCTCAAAGTGAGTCGAGGGGTGAGGCAGGGAAAGAGCCCTCATTCTGAGGCCCAGCCTGATGGCTGAGCCACTAGCAAGGCCCAGAAATCAGCTCTTTATCCTTTAAGCCAAGCATAAGTCTTACTTATTACTTCTCATGGAGAGAAGGATGAAAGAAAAGCTGTGGAAAATAAAAGGGAATGACAATATATAGACATGCACATTGTAAAAGGGAAGGAGGAATAGTGAGGACAGAGAGAGGTGGCAGAAAGAGGCAGGTGAGAACACAGTCACCCATCCACAGTGCTCACCTACTATGTGCAAGGTGCTGTGCTGGGTGCTGGGGATAAGGAGGTGGAAAAGCCATGGTTCTTGCCAGCGATCTTTTTTTCCCCTCCAACTGTGGAATACAGACTCCTCAGAATTCTATTTCTAATCTCTTTTTCTCTTTTTCTAATCTCTTCCCCATCAATCAATCTCCCCCCCCCCAATTGTGGAATACAGAATCCTAGGAATTCTAAGGTGAAAAAGGACCACGTCATCGCCCCTTCTAACCTCTTCCTCTTAAAGGCAATGGAGATCTAGAAAGTTCAACTTGCTCAAGGCCACAGAGGTAAGGATAGTGGGACAGCAGCCCCCTCCTCCCAACTCCCAGTCATAAACTCGCCTTGGGACAACCTTCTTAAATGCAAATGGCTGCTGAAAACAAGTTTCAAAATGTTCTGTTTCTTAATGTATCAATGCTGACCTTGGCTTTCAAAACTCTTCCTAAAAACTCCATCGGTCTTAACATGCCTTCTCTCCCATGGCTCTCAAACATACACGCTGTACTCAGGTCCTTTCTTCAAATTCCACTCAAAACCAGTGTTATTCCAGGTCTCACAATCTCTACCTCTTCTGTATCACTACAACACTTAAATGTCTACATCACATACTAATCACAAAATACAC